GCGAAACCTTATGTATTCGCCATATACTAGTAGTCTGGTCGCATCTCCCTTACCCCATCCTCGATTGGACTCGGATGAATGTAACGGAAATCATCTGGGTTCCTATCAGCTTAAGACTGGTTTTAAATTTCGTCACTTATTTGCCTTATTCAAGGCCAGTCCTGACCGACCCGCCTACTTACCCCTTTATGAAATCCTTTATGCAATGCCATATACAGCCGGCATTTATTTCGGCCCTGTTGATGTCCGACTATAATCCATTCTATACCGCCACATGCAGGCCAGTCCTGCCCGCATTTTTCTGATTCTATTTTTTCGAGGGGTTTTTTGTTCTTCTGTAAAATTAATCCAATCATTTTTAAATTTTCAAATGGAGTTTTTTTTCACCCCTCGCTTATCATTATCCTTAACGGACTTCTAATCTCAAAAACTATGTATTGCACTTTGTACAGATTTTGCCTACCTCGTCTAAAATTCGTAGGTACATTTATTTTTACTTGCTTTGATGGGACCCCGACGGGTCTTTAATAAAAATAATTAAATAAAATAATAATTAAATTAAATTGAGTTCGAACCAGTTCATTTCTTTCCTTCACTTTCAGATAGCACACTGAAAACATTCGATGTGCCCTCAGATCTTATTAAGATATACATAGGTCGTTTGAAAAATTCGCACTGCTCGGGAACGGGCGAGATTACAAATTCGATTATTAAACGAACATCCGACCTTCACATATTGCTTAGTCATTTATTCTTGGTTCATATTTCAAAAGGATTCTTTTCTGTCACATGGACGACGTAAATTATCAATCCTGCCTTCAAGTTTTTATCGGGGCGTGCACAAAACACCATCTCTAACAAAGGATAATTTTCAATTAAATTCTTGACTGCTGACTACCTAATCTGCACCTGAGTCCTAATCAACATGGAGTTTTACTGAAAAGCTCCTGCGAAACTGGCCGCTCTACATTTCTTAATCTTATTACTTTTCTTCGTAACGAGCAGCCGTTGGTGGTATTTATCAACTTCAATCTTAGCCAAGCCTTTGACAAGGTGCCACGTAGACGTCTCTTGGTAAAACTGGAAGCTCTTGGTAACCGACCTCCCCTTCCCGACTTCATCGGGATATGATGAACGCTATACAATGTCCGGGCTCCGAGTCTTTTCTAATAAAGAGAAGTATGTTCAGATTGTATAATATATACACGAGCGAAGAGACCTCTAGGATGCCAACGTTCATTGAATGCATCAAGAAAAGGACAAGCTTATTATAGATGTCATCTAAAAACTATGAAATTTAACACACAGCTGTTAGGTTGCTCGCCTCTGAACAGGTCAGATATTTGGAGATTTTATCGCGTGGATGAAACTTGTCAGGCGAATTTGGTCTCCTTCAGAATTTCATTTAAAAGTAAAAGAGAATAGAAAACTTTAAAATACGCGTTTCTTCCGCAGTATATCAACTGAGCGGAAAGTAACTTACGCAGGGGACAGCCAAGATGTTTATGGCCTCAGGCTCCAGTCAGCACATTGTTCAGTCAAAAATGTAATCGAGGCCGGGCAGCCGAGCGTGCGAACCAACATAATGCCTCAAAACGCAGACTAAGCTCAAATCCAACCCTGTCACATAACTCCACGTCAACTGTAAGACTTTGTTAACATCGATAATCCAACCGAAGAAATGAAATGCAGTAAATCCGACCATCCATGTAAAGTAAAATGGAAAAACGAAAGTCGAATTCGCGATAAAAGCTATAAAATCGAGAGCTTTTCAACGCTAAAGAAGTTCCATGTTTATGCACACGAATTCTCCTAATTTCTCTGGCCCTCACATTAACAAGATTATTGGGTAGGCTGAAGTCTATGCTGGTCCCAGCCCAAATTCGGGACATTTAGGTGAACGTGATTAGTGACTTCCTAAGCAGTCAGTGTCAAAGCGCAATCAAGGGGGAAATGTCGAAATTTACCTGTGTCAAAAATCAAATGAGATGATCACGCCAAACTAACCAAAACGTCCGAGATAGAACAGTTGAACTTTCAGACAAGTTTTCTGCGGCCGCAAGTAAGCTAAGCAGAATTTTGCAGAACGGAGATCCACAATGTTGATTTTGTGCAGAAAGTCATTAGTAAGCAAATGCTATTAAATGGTTTGTTTATGGTATTCTCCCCTAAGCTAGGATAACAACAGAAATACATGAAACAAGAGTTCGGAAAAGAAAAGTAGCTAAATATTATTCACCAATCTTCGATCAATACGTATTTAAGGTCAGATGGTGGTTTATATTGAGTTGTCTTCTAACACTAAAAACTTATCTCATTATGGGGACCGATTCAATATGCTTTGGTGGCAGCGAGCAAAATCAAAAATTAAGGACATGACAAAAATGGTGCTAAGGGTTCTATCCAATCAAAGCAGGGCTTCTATAGGTATGACCAAACCTTAATCCAGAAAGTGGAGGAGCTTTGTCAGTGGATATTATCCGTGCAGTAGGTCATAATCGTCTCCGTGGATGCTCTTTCAGAGCTATAAGTACTACTCCTTTAATCAAGATCACCTGCCTAAGACGGAAAGGCAGCTAACAATCTACTGGAAGAAAGAAGTCGTTCCACCGGAAGAAATAATCTTTTGCCCCCGTGATTGTTATGCAACACTTTTGGCACTGTGGGCGCATATATATTGAAGAGGGCGCTCACCGATGCCGTTATCGAATGTACTCGTCACATTGTGTGCTGCAGTTCGATCTAGAGCTCCACCAACAACCGCGGCGCAGCTAATAATATGAGTAAATTTACATCTCTGACTAAGAAAAGGGACACTCGATTTACCATTTCTGGTTTATCAGCCGCCACCTATCAGCCTCACTCAACTCCAGGTTTTTTTACTCCGAGACTCGAACCCGCATTGCATTGCTTAGAAGTCCACCACCCTAACTATTGAACCAGAGGGCTTGCTGTCCTGCCGGTTGGGATCGGATATATTGGCAATGCAATGTTATTCTAGATCTATTACTAGTAGCCCTGCGGCTACTTGCAACGCCATGTACTGAACCCAAAGGCACAACCCGCCGGATATCTCCGGCAAAGCGATGGGTGAGCGTCCGTCGGTCATTGTTCACATAGCCGATTGCATCCGACAAGATGTCTACATATATTCTACGAATAATCATTTAGCTTGAACTTAGGTCATCACCGAGACTCCCGGTGTTCAAACCGAAGTTACGCAATTATCTTTGAAGGTTAACAGTCGTTATTCTCCGCTTCATTCTCAAATGCTCGACTTCTGAAATTCGTAAGGGGTCGTCCTGTAATGTAAGAGTAAAATTAACGTGCTGGGGACCTTTAACTCAAGCGACTCTCCTTATTATGCTTTGATTGCTAAGTACACAACTTTTGTCCCTGCAGGGAAGATTTTCGCGACCTTTAACCCTTATCGAACTGGGGACAATAGCGGCGGATCCACTTGTTTCGCCACCTGGACGGCCGTTTCTGCAGTCAACCAGATATATTATGATCACATCTATCGCGTCTTTCGTATGTAAATAGCTTTTTCCGGCCACGAATTCCCCCTCCATTGGGAACGTTCCAAACACTCATGCTCTCGCATAAGTCGAACGTGAGCGACAGTCTCTTCTTGTATATAAGCTACAAATCGCATCCCTTTTACGCCTTTCGTCTAATTTCTCGAGGTTTTTTTTCACTGGCCATCTTTATCTCTCATTCTGTTCTCGAAACTTTACCAGTGCCAATTAGCATGCATTTGGTCCATTAGTCTTCATCAATATAAACACAAATTTGACACAACATATAATTGCGTATTTGTTCGGAGATTCATTCGCAAATATTTTTTGAATCTTTATGGACAGTACGCACAGAGGTGCCCAACGAAACAATTTTCATTATGGTACAACAACGGCACTTTACACAGACTTCGAACTACTCCTTTTCACCAAGCTGAAACATCAAACCCTATAATTCATTGATATTTTGGCAGATTTTGAATAATTCATATTGACCCAACTGTGAAAAACTCGGCGCCTCGGTGGGATTCGAAGCCACGCAGTAAGGGGAAGGCTTTAGCGCAGCCAACGCTCTAACCACCTGAGCTACGAGGCCCGGCCGGACGACGCGAGTTTAATCACATTTGGGTCAAGTTACCTGCCCAACCTACTGCAACGTCTGGAATCCACCATAATGTCAAACAGCAGTAAAAACGTCATAACTTAAATTAAGACTGCAAGCATGGATTGTTGCTGCTTTAGAAGTTTACATGGTGTCGCCAATAGTTGGCAAACTGAACTGAACTGAACAGGCGTTAGTATTTTTCGTTTTCATTTTGACTCCACTGTAAAAAATACCACCGCCACGTTGGTATTCGAACTCTGGGCGGGGGGGGGAGGCTTTAGTACAGCCAACGCTCTAGCCACCGGAGCCACGAGGACCTACTGGGATCCAGTAGTTTAATCATGTTCGGGTCAAATTACCCGCCTAACCTTCTGCAACGTCTGGAATCCACGAAGTCTGATACAGCAAGCCGGAATTCCGAACAGGACTTTCTAGGTAATCTATCTAGAGTCAATCAGACAGATGTATTTTAAATGTCCATTGAAATGCAGCATCCTGTTGACTAGCTCGACGTGCAAACCACATTAGCTGACATTACTAACTCGGTAGCAAGTGGTTTGCTAAACGCCTGCACATTCGATGGCTTGCTAACACCGCAATATTTTCGTACAACAAAGAACACTCACAATGGGCTGCATAGTTGTACTTTAAATAGGCCGAAATTCTCGCTTATTCTTCTTATGAAATCACAAGTCTCCGGTTATTAGAAATACAGCTAAATCACTAGTTAAAGCTGGCGTGGAATAGATAGGTAAATTATTGTTCAAATGCCTTACCCCTCCTAAATGAACATATTCGCTACTACCATCGCGTTACCGGTGCACTGCTGCTTCTCTCACAGAACAGTATTCGGGCGTCCGATGGCAGATCCAGGAAGAATGGTATGTTAGTCTTAAGAAGACAGTTCATATGGATGTTCGGCGTTTTTGAGCAAACTGCTCAGTCGAGCTGCATTTCCCGCAACGCTGACTGACCTTGTGAAGTTTGAATGCATTTAGAGTCTTCATAGTCGAACGCCCCGTGCAATCCACCATCGATCCAAAGTTATGAAAAGAATCTCGACATATTTACGTTCCGAAATAACCACGAGCAATGAGAGATCTAACTCATTCCCTGCGAAAAGGGGAGACCCAAACACGTCAAAAGAGACCCAAACTCGTCTGTCTTAGAAAGAGGCTACGCCGAAAACCATGCATAAAACCTGCTGAAGCATTAGATTCAGACAACTTCGATCAGACATATGTGACGAGGAGTGGACGTAACGCTACACCAGTTTCTGCCGAAATTGCTTTTTTTGTTTGAACGCATTATGACATTTCGTACTAACTCAGAACTGCAAGGGCAAGTAAGATGTTATCGTCATGCTTGGGGCTGGTATGCAATTACAGAAAATGCAAGCAGAACTTACACGAAATTGCCATTGTCACAATTTGCCAACACATATTTTGCACTCTTCACGGCCCCAAGATATTAGACGGCCAACACATTGCTGTTTGTCCTGTCTGCGATTGCAGGCTTGATCGCAATGTTAATGATTACGTCGAGGTAAACGTCCGGTCCGATGACTGTTAAAAGGTTGACCTTCAACCTCCTGATAGATTTAAGTCTCTGATTTTGGCTGGCCAATCTCCGGAAGTAATATTAGATATATGTTCTCGCGCCCTCAGTTTTTTCCACTTCCAGCAATCTTTGCGAGCACAATTTCTGGAGTATATAGCTGCAAAAGCGTTCGAAAAGACTAAAACAATGGAAAAAGAATTTAAAACCGTTCTGTCTCAAATGAAAGAGGAAAATTTGCTTATCGAGCACAAGAAGAATGCCGTATAAATCCCAAAATTCACTTTCATTCTAGTTCCTTTATAGCTTCTACAGGAATGCGAGGAGTTGCGCTCGAAACTAATTATTTCTGATCAAAAACTCACACAGTTAGAAAAAGAATGCCAGAGACTAAGTTTGGTACAGAGGAAAACCTCAACTTCAGCCGTTAATGAACCTGACCTACTGAATATGTCTTTAATTCAGCCTCGAAAGAGCACTGCATCTATTTGGGGACCGGATCCTAAACGGAATAGAGTAGACGCCACTGAATTATCCATCAGTGCGGATAATCTGGAGTCCTCGAAATCTCTCGCTAAGCAGGATGATAGTGCGAATGTCAAATTTGATCTTATTTCGCGGAATCGCAAACCATCTCCGTTCCGTTTTGTGTCGACAGGCCATGGACGTGTTGAAGGACAAGTCGCACCCACAAATACTTTTATTTGCAAAAGTCCTGCAGGTTTGGAGCACTTTTGACTTTAATTTTGCCTTTAGAATTTGGGGGCTTCAAGCTCCAGCATTACGGGACGTCTCTCTTTACACTAAGCGGAAGTCGCTGAATTTCTGGCTACTGATTATGCCCGATTCTTTGACTACTGTTTCTCAGCATTTTCTCAAGTTTATAAGTATTATCTATCCCTCCCAATTTGTGTGGGCTTTTTCACATACTCGGAACCGATTGTGTTTGCTTATCCGTCGGAATGTTAACTTTCACCGACCCTTCGTCTTCTATCACGCCTGTAGTAGCTCCCCTAAAATGTATTTACCCAAGACCATGCTTGTTCTTCAATTTTCTCTAAAATGGAACGATTTTAAGGTGGGAAAATGCTAATATTTTTCTAGTGTCAGATGAATTTTATTTGATTCTTAATTCATAAGTCTTTTTGTCCGTCACCATCATAGATGTGCGATGATTGTGGCGTCAGGTAGCTAATACGCTTAGATCGCACAAATTAGATACAAAATCTAGCCAGACGCTTTATACCCTAATAAAAATATGCATATCACATTCATTTCCAGGAACTTAAACAGCACAGCGCCAGGTAATTCCCGACTTTTCTTTGCATTCTGTTCTTTTCGTCATCAAGACTGTTTTTTAAAAACAAAAACGTATGGGAAGAAACACTGTAAGGTCGCAAATTATCCTCCTGATAGTGATTATTTGGGTTTTACTGTTGGGTATTTAACAATGTACCAAGAATTCTGACTTCGGACATCTTGACTTTCGAGCAAAGCATGTGTCAGTATATTCCGCAACCCTCGTTGAAGACGGACTGTCCCGACTTGTCTTTACGTTTCAACCAAAATTCATTTAAAACTATCTGCCTTCCATATATTTTTCGTTAGCATATCTGATATTATCTCACCGGATGCTGTTCGATAAAGCCCATTCCTTTTTGACACACAAAAACTATGAAGAATTTTTTATTATCTTCCTAAATCGGAAAGTCGGTTGGAGCATTCTTCCTGCCTGACATATAGGAAGTATCTTTTGGTACGTAAACTCATCTCGCGATGGTAAATTTTGCACAAGGGACAGGCTAACTGAACAAGTCTGCCATTTATGTGCCCCATTATCATTTTCTGTAGGCATTAGTGTCCGTTTAGAGGATCCAGATGGAGAATCAACTATTTCGGAGGCTTTTTTTGCTTCACATCGACTAGTGGTGCGTGACGAATAAAACGAATAAGTTGTGTCTACGCAATCATATATAGTAGTTAGTTATGTTTGGTCTTGACCTGCGCTATCAGTGTATCACTGCACTGGATACTTAGCGCCGAATGTATCTGCAGGGCATTTTTTGTTCTGAACCGATTGCAATTCAACCGTCATAGTTTCACTTGCTAGTCGTAAATGACGCTTGCAACTCCCTTCTATTAAGATTTCGGAACCAAAATATATAAAAGGCGACTATAGCCCATGATTAGTGTGGTATGGTGCTCAAAGCTATGAAAATGTCTCAGAATTATATGAACAACGCCCATATTTTCACGAACCGTCCTACGATTATTTATCACTTTCTGTTTTAGTGACTGTATCATTATCTGTTTATTGCGATACGTGACAACCACTGGACGGTCATATCAAAATGGTGACTACAGGATTGCGACTATGTCATGTAGCAATTCATATCCCTTCAGCGCCTTTGAAAATACGTTCTACTTGGCAAGGCTATTAGGCTCAAAAGTCGGGAATAACGTATGCACGTAGGTACCTGCTAAGTGACGGTTTGGTAGTACTGAATTATAAATAGAACCGTTTACTGGAAGGGGTCTATGAGACATGAGGACGCCTGCACAGTCGGAAAGCTTACGTTTTCGAGTTATTTCGGACCATCAAACTCTCGAGGTCGTGCAGGATACTCCACTGACTTTTGTCGAAGAGTTCGAACGATGGATAATAAATACGGTGGTTGTTTGTTTGATATTTTTGCATCTTAAACAGATATGAGGCCTGCCAGACGTCACACTTTGACAAACTTTAATCTCCTTAAACACAGTTGAGGAGGGAATCTTGGGCATTTCCTTCTTCCGGGACAGGTTTAGAACGTGTGTGCTTTTTAATTATGTTAGGAATTGAGTGTTTTCTGCACATCTGACTATGGTTTAAAATTCCATTAAAATGTACACACAGTCTGATTTCTTATCGTAATAAGGCCATTGAACCGTTGCCTGATTTAGTTATTAAAATTTCGTTCCACCCTTTCTGAACGGTTACGCATATAAGAGAAGTTGGCTGTTTATCCTAATGTATCGCCCCTTAAGGAGTTTTAGAAAGCTGTAATTTGCTGAAATGGAGCAGTATGCATGAAATATTCTCAATTCCTCTACCGTGTGTGAGCTTACTGTTTTTGAAACACGCTAATTTCAAAATACCAACACTACACGTGGTCAATGGGAGGCTTTCATTAACGTTGTCTTTTGAAATGTGGAAAATCCTCATGAATGCGATCATTGTCAGGGCCTCGGACATACACTTCAACCTCTGTATATGAACGGAAACCATTGGAGATGCATGGTGCCTTTCCAGCATAAACTTTGACTATTAACTACGCACGACCAAACTATTTTGATTATTTTGGAAGCAGGTGTTTGCCGATCTGATTTCAGGGCTTGTTTTTTAACTGTGCATTAGTGTTGCGGTTGCGCGCTCGTGTAAAATGTCGTACAATTAATACGCTTAGGGGGGGGGGTTATTCCATCAGGCAATTTGTCACGCACTGTCAGCCTAACTGTTTGCGTGACCGGGACTCCTCAATGGAGGGTACTTAAATAAAAAGTCAAGCAGATGAGTACTGCGCTCTACTGTCTAAATTATCTTTCTTTTCTGAAAATCAGTGTGTTCCGAAGTGTTGGGTCTAAAATATAGAAAAGACGCCCACTTCTTCAAGCGTAGGAAGGAACATAGTTGTCAAAGTGGTCATTTTCTTATTATGAATATACGTAAAAGATTTTTGAGCTGATAGCCTTGCATTCATAAGTGGTTTTGTCGACGTTTAGTCCTTTTACCAGAAACTCTTGTGCTCGGTCAGGAAACGCCCACTTTCGGCAGTTTCAAGTCTACCGAGGGAAGGATGTTCATCACATACACCCATCGCAGAGCATTAATCGTTATGGGACCAAGTTACTCTACTGACGGCCGATCCTCAGTGCGCCCGACTTACAGGAACATTGCATGCGGACTTCTTTTCAACGTCACTACCTACTTTCAAAGGCGACTCAATACCGTACCTCACATAATTGGCTCAATAAGGAAGCGAGTACCTAATTTATTTACAGACTCATAAGGCAGTTTTCCGTAATACGTGAGTTACTGGATGCAGGTGTTATCAGAAGTGATGTTTACTTTAACGTCAACAAATTGAACCTGGTTCGGACGTATTTCCTGATCATTGCCTCCTTCTTCTGCTTGCCGCACAAACTGAATTCGGGTAAAATGCTTGCACATCAACAGAGGGCGGTCACTGGCGTGTGCCTTATTTGCGGTCGCTTTTGCCGAAATGGCCCACTTGTCGGCGAAGCTTACAAAATATTAGATGCAGTGACCAGGGCTATGAAGGTCAAAGCCGGTCACAGAGTCGGATGAGAGTTCTCGCAACTGTGCTGCTTCTTGTCTGTTGACTCACGTCGGCCACCTCTGTGAGGTGCAGTTCAGTTTTGCTGATAGATAAGTTCGGAACACTCATTCTCCCCTTCCCCCTTCACTCTTCAGGAGTTTCGTTTCAGCTAAAAGTACATCTGTGGTCTATTCCGAAGTGCACATGGATTCGCCCCCTCCACCCCTGATTACTAGGGTAGGGATTGAAGTAGAAGTTTTGTGTTGGTCTCAATCGCAAATGGGGCAAAGGCTTAATATTTATTATTGCGAGGATGGTGGGGATATGTAACAAGAACAACAACGTCAAAGATGATGGTCAATAAACTGAATTTTCATAACATAGGGGTGACACCAACTTCCTCGGAGTCCTTTGGGTCCAAAACATCAACCAGAAATACTTCTATAAACTATACAAATGTGCACGCCGGTAATCGATTGCGAAACCTATGTTTTATCAACACCAGTTGTTAGGATTAGCCACATTCTCTGAAGGGGAAGGGGTCAGTGGGAAAATAAATTATTATGCCTCTGTGGCAGCGAAAGACTTGTGACCAATGCCGGGTGCTATGTTGATTGTCATGGAGACTTCTGGGCATAGTACTCAGTCAAATTCTTCGCACCTCCGATCAATAAGTATCAGGCTGTTATCACAATCCTTTTGCACATTATCTACTTTCCACGCCGGGAAGAAACCGGAAATGAATTCGCGACAATTATAAGTTTCACTCTCTAGACAGTCCTGTCGCTCAAACTTCGCAACTTTTCTTCCCATTTTTCAGCGCAATTTAAACAGGATATTTTAAAGACGCCACGAATTTTAAGGTTTTTATCGTAATGTCGATGTCCATCGCTTAATATAGTTACAGTTATTCGGTTTCTTTGTCACGAAAGTTACGAGTTGTCGCCTTTTAAAAAGCAATAGCAGCTAATGTTGCTCGGGGTCGTAAGTGGGGTGTTTGCTCGGATGAGCTAGTTGGACACCAGGGGAGGTGAGTGGCCCACAGTTATGTTCCCGTGTGGTGGAGAGCGTAAGCTGCTGAATTCATACTCTCACCTTTCTCATATCCTCCACAAACCCCGTGGATCGTACGCACAAGATCAACAACGAGGAAAACTTGTGAACCTCACGGTCCCCCGCTTCCACCAGCTTTATTCCCCTTACCCCGGGGGGAAAAATTATCACGTGTGTGTGTGTGTGTGAGTCGCTGGCGTTTCTCTAACGCTTACGGGCCACGCGCACCATGTCGGTGATAATTATAGCTGTCCTCCCTTCACTCTTAATACCCTTAGCGGGGTGGGATGGCCTTGGTTGCCGACCTCTATTGGGCCGTTTAAGCGTAATAAGCCAAATTATCGCGACGGGGCCCAGTGGGATCTATGGGTGTGATATTGATGGTATCGGCCGTGGCTTCCTCCCCCCCGCGGGTCCTTTCTCCAGATAAGTTTTGAATCGGAACAGGG